GTGTTCTGATATTTTCTGCTAAACCTTTGTGAGGGCCACAGTGGATTAGTTGGTAGAGTTTGTCTACTAATACAAAGGTTGGCGGTTCTAATCCCATAAACATAAACATCACTGAGTGTTCAGACCCATTGGTCCATAGGTTGGCAGAGGGATTCCACCTCTCACAGATTGGGAAAGACACTTAACCCACCTCGCCCCCAGTGTCTGCGTACACTGATGTGTGACTATGTGTGAATGGGTGGGTGACTCCTTGACATAAAGCACTTTGAATGCCTTGAAGGTGGAAAAGCGTGATATAGAATGTGACCAGATATCATTTAAATATATGATAGGGTATGGTTACCCCATACTATAATGGCAACTAATATTTATGACTGTGAAAATGTACAATATTCAACAACTTCTCTTGCTTCTACTATACTCCCTCCGGCTTAAAATATCTGCTAACTAGTTGTGCAACTGTAATGGTACGCTTCTACTATTAATCTGCTAGTACTTGTACTACTGCTAAGAATACTGCTACCACTACTGCTAGTGTTGTTCTGATGCATTTTGTTTATCGGATCCGATGCTGATATTAAGCCTCAGTGGAGGCTAAATATCAGTATTGGATCAAAAGTTTTCATTAAAAATATACTTTTGATGAGGAATTGTGCTGATTTAAGTACTTTCACATTTCTACACAGTCAGCAGAGGCAGTGCTCCCATCTACGGGTCATTATTCAGGAAAATACACTGTGGTATTGCAACTCTGATCTGGTCTGAGTACTCTCCGATACAGACACCTGAAAAATCTGATGTATCTGAGCTTTTCCCAGTACCGGTATAACAATCCTAACTATCACTACTACAAGTACAACTAGTACTACTAAGATGTTACTGCACCTCTTGTAATCCTGATTTACTTAGTATAATTTATGCACTCTAATCCTTCTAAACTCCATTCAGTTTACTCCAAACGTTGTGGTCATTCCTGTATTGCATGGGGCTGGTCTCTGGACACAGTATCTCTATCAGATCCTGTTTAATTAATGGGTGGATGCAGTACGACTCCTGTCATCTGACCACTAATAGCACACTGAGGCGAGAAAAAAGACACAAGGCCTGGCCAAAATCAGTGGCTCCAGAAATCGCAATAAAATATAGGCTTCCTCGAACTCCACATCTTCTCAAATGATCTGTTATGGCAATTATCTAAGTCAGAGTATCAATTTTTACATTCTTGAAAGTGTAAATGCGCTAAATGGGCTTCGAACTTGTAAGATGGTCCTGTAATGTAGCCGTGGTGGTTTGGCTTTTTATGATCATTTATATTGAAGGGTCTATATTGCGCATAGTTGACTCTTGTGAGCCAAGTTGAAATGTTGTTACCTCATCAAAAACATATCTGGAGTTGCGTTTCATTCACAAATGTTTGAGCAACCCTTTATTATTAGTCTGTCTACATCTCCAAAGCTAAAAATGCTCTGGTTCCACCTTGATGTCATGAAATGAAACAGCTCCTTTTAACTTTTGTTCAGTAGAGATGGGAAACACTATTGGTTAAAAGGTTGATAACATCATTCTATCTGAGGTTTTGATAAATATTTCACAAAGTTTTCTCTACTTTGAGCATTTTGGTGAAGTTTATCATTTTACTTTGTGGTTGGATATGGGCAGCAGATGATAGAGGTAATTTCGTAACTGTTACCTAGCAACCATTCTGTTCTATAAAGAGCCAGAACTTGTCTAAATTTTTTATTAGTTAGAGTTAACAGTTTTTGTTAAATCTAATTAAAATAATAATAATTAAACTGCCAGAAATACACCTTCCTTGTTTTCATTTTGGATGGAGTTTCCTGTATTGATAATATAGGTGGAGGAATTCTGCTTTAAAAATTTACTCTACTTTCTGTATTTTTGTACTTTTCTTTTTCCAACTGGTTTTTCTACAGGTAATGTCTATTATATAAGCAAATTTTACTTTTTGGAGCTTTCAACCATATTATAACCTTGTTCCCATGTCTGAAGAGGTTTTAGAGTCATCCATACATGTTTGAGTAATCTAGCGATCTCTCCGGGCCATATTCAAACCATCTTTATGGTTAGCTGCAAGATTTGTCCATTGCTCCGCACAAAAGTCTACACCGCCCAAGCTCCCACACGACAGTTCTCCATAAATATAGAAAAATACGATACAAAACATATATTACAACTTCACAAACCTGATGTGATGTGCTGTATTTTCATTAACAACGATTGTAAAGTGATAGCACTGTGAAGAGGGAGTGACTTTTGACTTAAGAACGAATTTACCATTTTCAAAAACAATAAAAGGTAACACGGTGATCGAAATATGTTATGTGTTAGTAATTCCAGAGCTGAAATGATCCAAATGATTCTAGTAAAGGTGTATGGAGTTTAAAAACACAGTGGAACAAGTCCTGTATGACATCACAAGGTTAAACAGAGTCTCTAAATATACAGGATTTGTGTGTCAAACATGTGCGAATGAAACAAAACACAACTCCGGGTATGTTTGTGATGAGGAAACAACATTATAACATAGATCAAAAAAATAGCGTAATATGAGCCAGCTTGAACTAAAATACCCTGTCTTTAACCAAATAACATGTAGTTCCACACATTTGCCGTGATATTTAACTTCACTTTTCCCCTTTGAAACACATATCTCCACAGGACTATTTGACGGGCCCTCAGAAGATGAAGTGTCCTGACGAATGGTATTACAACACAGGGGAGACAAATGGTCCACGTGGGAGCACAGGTGTGAAGCATCACTCTCACGGAAGATCTCTGCGAGGGTACAGAGACATAAATAAGAGCATGTTTAAAGCTTCAGGGTGAGTTGTACGTCTTTGTAACAGTTTTCCTACATAGAAATCACTTTAGACAGCTATACATGGACCAAATCAGACATATATCATGCTAGGCAATGGCACAGAGTTTATATATTGTGCATGTTGTCAATAGCAGGAATCACACCTTCAACTTTTTGGTCAAAAGAGTGATTGCCTAGAGTTTAAGGCTACAGACCTTTAGATGTTTAGTAGAATTTATATGAGACAACAGCAGGAAAGGGAAGGTAGTGAGTAGGTCTGGGTATCATTAAGAAGTTGACGATACGACACATACCTCGTTACACAGCCCACGATACGATACATATCTCGATACAGTGCACTTTCTAGTCGATTCAATATATTTCAAATAAAAATATTGGCTAAAACATGGCTGTGATACTAAAAGTCTTGCAAAGTTCAAATGAAAAATGCCCCATTTTAAATCATCAAAACAGTGAAAATGTGAAATGTGTCGCACAAATTACTTTCCTTTCTCCAAACAAGCAACAAAAACTGCATCGCTATAACAAAATAATTCAGTAAAATGTACCAAAAAATACTCTTCTAATATACTTGATACAGCAGTCCATGAATATCCATATTGTATCATCACATTAAACGACATGATATTTTCACACACCCCTAATAGTGAGTGAGCTAAAGATATGATTTTTTTGTATTTACACATAAAAAGGTAGATTCATTTAAAACGTTTTTTATGTATAGTAGTTTTTGCATGAGCTCCCCCTGCAGGTGTAGCGTTGTTAGTGCCCTTTAGGTCAGATACACAGAGTTAAGTAATAGTTTTGAGAGTTTTTGAAGCGCCTCATTTTTAGTCGGCCAATCAATCGGCTGGACATTTCTTTAGTCCAAAAGAATTTCTTTAGTCAACAGCTTACAGCTCTAATAGTTTTTCATTATTTTTTTTTCTATTGCAACTGGTAATGACAATAAGCAAGCGGTATATGGCTTTTAAAAAAAACTGCATTTACTGAAGGTGCACTGCGTAACTCCTTGGTTGGGGGTCCATCACCTGCTTGTTTCTAGCAGCCTGGAATCTTCCACAGTAGTTTCTTAGCTCAAAAATCCTGACATTCTGACTGTGAATAGGATCGCCTCTCCACAGATCTGACCTGTAACGTGGTCTGGTTTGGTCTCCATGAAGATAGAAAAGTTTAATACCATACTGTGAAACATTCCAGTATTCCATTGCAATAATGTCCATGATGAAATAAATTTGACGGACATCCACCAAAAAAAGTTACTCAATGCACCTTTAAATCTTGTCAACAAAACCCACAAATTTCACCGTAGTTCAAAGAAATTGCACACATGATAAATACTGACTTCTAGCTTTCATATATTGAAGCTGATGTAGTCATTATCGTATAATTTAATGCCATACTGTGGAACATTCTCTGCATAGTTGTCTAATGTAAACAAGCTTGTCTTTTAGCATCTGTGTTTAAATCTGTGCAGCCAAGTAAAACAGGGGGAGTGAAGAAAACACCACAAGACCACCTCAGTTTACAAGGCGACCAAATGCACTTTCTTGCACCTTGAAACATTCCAGGGACTTTTACAATTCAGTAAGCAACGGTAGCGCGTGCATTCCATAGTTTTAGACCGGGTTCCCGAAAAACATCCACGGGGAACAGCCTACCGACCGACGTTACCATGACAACATCAACACATTCCTCCCTCTTGTTTTCCCCTCCAGGACACACAAGCTCTGCGCGTAACCCCCTGACCGCTCGTGTTTACCTGCCATCCACGCGTTACCACGGGGCCAGGGGTTAGCGGCATCCATCTCAATCAGGCAACGTACGGATCTAGCTGACAAAAAAAAAACAATAACGGTAGCCCTAACAATAGCAATAGCGGGTGGACCAAAACAGAAGCATGTACCGCGGTGAGTGAAAACACGTGTGGATGCACGCTGAGCTCCCCGGGTTTCTCCGCTCTTCCAAGCGCTTAGTTCCGCCACAAATCACTGTCTGGCCATGAAAAGATGTCAACTCCCTTCGCTACAAGTTTCCCATGGAGCCGCTTCTCCAAAAAAGTCATTAGAAGATCCGTTTAAATTTATAAAGCATGAGGGAAAATTACAAAAATGAAGTGCAAAATGAGAAACTGCGTGAAGTTTTGTCATTCACGTACCTGCATTAAGACATCCAGTTTGTGTGTTTTCGCGTCAGTTTCTTCTATGTGAACATACCCGCTTGTATGCTGACCCCTCTCTGGTACATGCCACGGTGGGAGTACTTAACGCAGACTACTTTTTCCTCCTCCTCCCAGCTCCAAACAACAGCGGTAATCCTCAGCGCGTGCCAGGAGAGAGCTACTGAATCAGTGAGAGAGGAGGTGTGCCCCAAGAGACCGTCTTCGTACCGCTCGACTTGTCTCCCGTTCTCTGACGCCGTGCCAAAAGAAATGTCCAAACGCGCTATATATGGCCAGGAGGAGAAATGAGGTGGTTTAGAAGGGGTAGCGGTGTGATTCCGGTGCCCAAAATGAGAGCTCTCTCCGGGGGTAGATGGTAACAGTATCCCCCTCCTTTTCTCTTCTCTTGGTTCTCTCCCTCTCTCTCTTCCTCTTTCTCTCTCCCTCCTTACTTCTCCTGACAGACCTCAATAGGGCTGTCGACGCAAGACTTTCTCTGTGAACTGTGCCCAAGAATTGAAATGAAGCTGTACCTGAAGCAATGTTTTGGGTAAAAATAAATGGAACACCACAGCTCAGATTATGCTATTTTCTGATCTATGTTATACAGTGGTGGAAGAAGTATTCAATTTTGGTACTTAAGTAAACGTACACACAGTGCAGCAAATAAATACTCAAGTTAAAATAATAGTATCACATGAAAATTCTACATAGTAAAAGTATTAAAGTAAAAATGTAGTTAAAGAGTAAAAAAGTAAAAGTGTAGAGTGAGGTCTAGTAAAGCTTCAAATGTGGCGAATTGGATACAGATTTGTGAAGAATTTTGTTCAACAGAAGCAATTGTTTTTATTTTTTATGGCCTGTTTACATGAGAATGCTTTCGAATAAAAAAAGACAAAATACTTAATCAAAAGTGCCTTTTGTTTAGATGGTGACGGCGTTTTTGGGTCTTAAAAATGCAAAAATCTGAAGCGTTGAATACTCTCCGCCGTAGCGTTTCCGTCTACACTGCCCAAGACGCAAAACTTTGGTCAGATCTGCACACATCGCATACACGTTTACGTCAAATACATACAGTGTGGCATGCATACCCATTCAAATTCCACACACTTTTGCATCACCGTATGCACGCAGATTTCCTCACAAAAACGCTTGTCTAAACACGGAATAAAAAGTAAAGACGCGACGCCACTTTTGGTTCTTCTGTTCAGACCGGCATCATATAAACCTAGACTTATTATATTATTTTTTCTAGCTGCTTTTATCGTTCGCTCAAACTATGACCTTGGTAAAAGTAAATCCTTAGGCTTCTCAAACTAAAATAAAAAACTTTTACTTTTCAGGCCAGTTCAAAAATGTAATGGAGTAGAACATACAGATACCTGCTCTCAAATGTAGTGAAGTAGAAGCAAAATGTATCCACTTTAAAATGCACGCAAGTAAAGTCCAGATATCTAAAATGTATACTTAAGAACCGTATTTTATTACTTTATTACTTTTACTTTGTTACATTCCACCACTGATGTTATAATGTTTCCTCAGTTCATTCACACACACAAATAATGTATATTTAGGTTGAGTTCTTCTCTCAAACTGAAATCAGTATTGAAGTTTTATGCCTTTCTGTGGAACATCATGGGCAATGCAATAAAATCTCCATGGAAACAAGTGGACCCTTCACCAGAAAAGTTACAACATGCACCTTTAAACTCCACACACCTTCACTACAATCATTTGGATCATTTCAGACGTGGAATTGCCAATCTCTACTGAACTAAAGGTAAAAGGAAAACTACCATTTTATGACATCACAAGGTAGAACAGGGGATTTTGAGCTTTGGAGACATAGACAGATTAATAATAAAGGGTTACTCAAATGTGTGAATGAAACAAAACACAAATCCAGGTCTGTTTTTGAGGAGGTGCTCGTTTAGTGTAATATAAAACCTTTAAATTACGTGGCAAAAATGAGACGTGAACCTTTATAAGAATGCTGCATGAATTTGTTCCAGAACATGACTATAAAAAAGCCACATTTTTTTTTATAATATAACTCCAAACTGCAGCAGCATAATAAAGATTTAACATTGTAAATTTTAGCAACTGACTCATCAACAACTGACTGACTGATTGATTTTCATCATAAAAACAAAAAGTTACATCCAAAAGTCGAAAATGACCAGAATATAACTTTCACTTCCTTTCTCTTTTTTAAGTTGGCATAAAAATAACAGTCTTTTGTTTCTTTCTTCTGTTTTTTATGTAGCCTGTGCAACACATAAAATTAAACTTCGTTTCTTAATTGGGCAGAGAGTCCATTTTTAACCATCTCGCCACATCCATGTAAATGACTGACCTACTTTTATAATTTGGAGTTTTTATAGAGAAGCATTTACCACACAATTTTACTATTATTTCTAAAGTTTTTACATACTTTTCAGTTGGTTTTTAACAGCTGTTAGAAAGTTTAAGTGGATAGGGTTGTTTTGAAAGAGCTATACATTTCATGTATTTATTTTATATTACAAGAAGTAGACTCTTGTGAGCTTAAAGTCATGTTTTAATGTCATTACCTCTTCAAAAACAGACCTGGAGTTGTGTTTTGTTTCAATCACACATGCTTGAGTGAACATTTATTCTTAGTGTTTCTCCATCTCCAGATCTCAAAATGCTCTGTTCCACCTTGTGATGTCATGAAGCGGTAGTTTTCAAGTTTAAGGTGGAGGGTGGAGTATGGCAATAAATCTTTCTATCTTCATGAAGACAAAGCCAAACCAAGTTACAGGTCAGATCTGTTAAGAGACGACCCCGCTCTGTCAGAATGTCTGCTTTTTAAGGCATTTTTTGAGCTATTAAAAAAAAAAAAAAAAAAAAAAAAAAAAAGTAAGGTAGAGCTGTTTAATGCCATACTGTGGGACATTCTAAGCAGAGCAGCGACATAGAAACAAGCAGGTGATGGACCCTCAACTACAGCGCTACACAACGCACCTTCAGGATATCCTCAGGTTTGACTACCCCAAATTTAAGACTTTTTAAAGACTTTTTTCAAGACCAATTAAATGAAAATTAAGACCAACATTGGATCCATTATGTGGGCGAAAAACACCAGATCCAAATTCTAATAATGACCATTACTTACTGCTTTAAATAACAAAAAATACTTTTATTATAAAATCTCATTCAGAACTCATTTATAGCAGTATGCACTGCTTGTAAAATGGCCCAAAACATTTATAACATTCTAACAAGACAAACTAAAGTATTGTTTGCACATACTCCAAATTAGACGTTCATTCATGTTACGTGATTTCATGTTGTTGTTTTTTCTTCTCCCTCCTTTTAACATTGCACTGCAGCCCATTTGAGTATACAAAAAAATAGACCACTGAAATTTCAGACCTTTGTGAAAAAAATAAGACTTGGGCAACATAATTTAAGACTTTTTAAGGCCTTAATTTGGGAAATTAAATTTAAGACCTTTTTAAGACTTTTAAGACCCCGCAGCTACCCTGACCTTTAACTACTGCCTTTTATTGGCAATTCCAGGGCTAAAATCATCCAAATGATTCTAGTGAAGGCATAGAGTTTAAAAACACAGTGAAGCATTTCCTGTATCACCACATGACATCACAAGGTGGAACAGAGTATTTTCAGTTTGAGAGAAGAACTCAGCTTAAATAAGGTTTATGTGTTTTAAACGTGTGACTCAAACAAAACACAACCCCAGGTATGTTTGTGATGAGGAAACAACTTTACAACATGGATCAGAAGATTGCGCAACATGGGCCCTTTAAACCACAAAAAGCCACATTTTCCCACACGCCAAATCCACGGCCCATTCTAATTTCCAATATGCTGTTGTTGTGGAAGCGGAGGAGGGCTCTTTTGTATCTCCTCTGGGGGAAAGTATGCACAAACTCGGGGTGAACCAGCTCCTGACCTGCCTACGAAGACTCGAGGTATATTGGGGCCATCCGTCATCCGCCAGCACCCGGTGATTATGGCGTCGGTAGCGTCTCTCTGCCAAACGCCGTGTCCCGACTAGCATCTACGGTGTTGAAGGGCGTCGCCATGGAGACGGGCCGCGCCGGAGCTTTGATGGGGCGTGTTTTTTTGTTTTTTTTCTCGTCAAGAGAACAGACCTGCCTCTGTGTTGTGGAATGAGGAGGCTTGGCTTTAGCTAGCGGTGTGCGTGTCATCGGATCAACCTTTTTCTTCTTCTCCTACCTTCTACTTTCATGCTTGGATGGTCGCTCACTTTTACGTGCCAGCATTCTATACACGCCCCTACCTCTGCTAACCACTCCTGCTACACTAGAAAACTGGTTCAAGAATGAAGAAATTGAAGGTTCTATATCATGCAAATCTGGCTTTTGTGATCTTTAAGCCATGTTAGAATGTCATTACCTCCTCAAAAACAGACCTGGAATTGTGTTTTGTTTCATTCACATGTTTGAATAACTCTTTATTATTAGTCTGTCTACATCTCTAAACCTCAAAATGTGCTGTTCCACTGTGTGATGTCATGAAGTGGTAGTTTTCAAGTTAACAGCTCCTTTTACCTTTAGTTCAGTAGAGATTGGAAATTCCAGGGCTGAAGTTATCCAAATGATTCTAGTGAAGGTGTATGGACTTTAAAGGTGCACTGTGTAACTTTTCTAGTGGAGGGTCCGCTTGTCTCCATGGAGATTTTATTGCGTTGCCCACAATCTTCCACAGTATGGCATTAAACTTCGATACTTCATACGTTTATTCGATTACAGGTGTTTTATTACTACTTTGAAAAACACTAGCGGGATCCATTCTCTGCAGATCTTACCCATAACATGGCCTGGCTGCGTCACCTAATTGTCTCCGTGGAGATAGATACATTTAATGCCATACTGTGGAACAATCCAGGCAAATGGCAAAGCACCTTGATGAAGACAATCAAGATGATGGACCCTCCACCAGAAAACATTTTTGGTGGAGAGTCTGTAGTTGTAGTAGTAGTAGTTGTTGTTGTAATTCTAGTAGGTGTAGTTCTAGTAGTTGTAGTAGCTGTTGCTGTAGTAGTTGCAATAATGGTGGTGGTAGTTGTAGTTGTAGTTCTAGTAGTTGTAGTAGCTGTAGTAGTTGTAGTAGTAGTTGTAGTTCTAGTAGTTGTGGTAGTTGTAGTTCTAGTAGTTGTAGTAGTAGTAAC